TAAAATAGAAAAAGACCAATCAAAACAAACCAGTGTAAGTTACACAGGACTTCAAAACAATAGGAAATCAACAATGGTTACCATAATGCTCTTGTTGTCTTCAAAATAGCTGCAGACACCTTCAGACATAGTAAAAATCAAACAAAACAGAATAGAACCAATAAAAATAAAACAATGAATGCAAAAAAGGACTTCAAAACAAGATAAGAGTAAATCCAAAATGCCTACCACAATTATTTCTCACTATTTTTGAAATAGCTGCTTATGCCATCAAACATGACAAAATCAAACAAAACGAAACAGAATAAAATCCAACCCAACCCAACAAAACAATGAAATGATACAGGACTTCAAAACAAGAGAACAGAGAATTAACAATGGCCGCCACCTTGAGAAGGATATCCCCCATAGATGCCACACCTCATACTGTGATCCTTGTCATGTTCTATGCTTATCGCCCTAGTAACCATGTACCTGGAGCACCAACCACATTGTTATAAATCAACTGAGGCATCACCATACTGTTCTGTATGCGTCATCACCTTAGTAACCTGTTTGCTGTGTCAACTTTTGTTCCCCTTGTAAGAGACAAATGATGCTGTGTCAACCATGTTCCTTTTGAGACAAATGTTCCTGAAATTGGCAGACGAAGGGCTATGAATTGGCTAACCACCCACTGTGAAATGCATTCTGATCTCAAGCAAAAGGGAACAAAGGCCCACCTTGTTTCTGTTTCTCATCGCTATGTACTTAATGTTCAATGAGCTAATCATAAATGGACTATAAAAATCAGTCAAAATTCTAACTCAGTTGCACAGCTTTGCAAATTCCATCTGCACTGTGTCGCTGGGCCAGCTAAAATAACAGCATTTCTTTTTAAAATGACGTCATCTTGCCCCATTTTTCATCTTGGGGGGCCTTTTGGGGGGGGGAGATTTACAACAATCCTCTGCATAGCAGATCAGACCACCAACCCTAGACCTGCAAAGTAGTGAAACACCAAACACAAGCATCAAATTGCATTCTCCTCAATAGCTATCATCAATATCATCCTCAATAGCCTGTGTTTCTCCAGGTCAGCTGGTCACTTTGTGGGGTGGGGGTTGGCTCCTCTTGTTTCCCAGCCCACGTACTGTAAAGGGGCTGGTGTCTGGCTGTCTCCCCAGAGGCCCGCACATGGCGCTGATTTGCAGGGAGCACTTGCTTCTTGGTGACTTCTTCACAAATACATGTTTTAATCTATTCTGCTCTTCCTATTTATTTCTTCTTTTGTTTTGCTGTATGTTTGGAGGACATTTCTTAATTAGGTAAGTATGCCCATTCTCTTCCCATCCCACTGCCTCACAAAACAGGACTCAGGTACCTGAGATTTAGATGCTATTCCAAACTGAGCTATACTCCTCCCACTAAGACTGGAATTCCCAAACACAAGACTGAAGCCTCTGATTTGTTGGATGGAAAGCTGAAGCTTTGCAAATTCTCTCCTTAGGAAGCTGCAGCTTAATTTAGGAAGTAGATTCCCACTGCTCAATAAGAAAGACATTAGCTTTTTGGGTTAAAAAAATTTAAATTTGTAATTATCAAACTCATTGCCAACCCCCAAGATATCTGCTATTTCTGCAAAATTCCAGTTTCTGTCTAAGCCTATCCCTCTACAATTCTGACTCACATGGATCCTAAATTTCTGAGTGCTAAATACTAACCCTTAACATTCACTCTTCGCAAGCTAAGGACCTTTTCTACAACCAAGTCCATCTCATTTCTGGAACTAGTAGAAATGGATAAAATCACAGGTCATAGTTACTAGGAAAGATAGGCCTCTGATCGTACAAATGGAGTGCTTCAGTCCCACTCAGTCTAGGGCTAGATAAAAGAAATAAATTTTATTACCACCTTTCTCACATACTGTATAGACAGGCAGAATTTTTAACATGAACCCAAAGGTTGTCAGTATCTCTGAAAATAATTCTTCCCCCTTTAGCTTATTTACATTGTGATAATGCCATACAGAGAATTTTAAATGTAATTATTAAAGAAATATTCAAAAGAAAAAATAATAAATGCTGCTGACACTAGGGAAAAGGAGATACTTCTACATAGCCAGTGGTAATGTAAATTATTATAAACCGCTATGGAAATCAGTTTGGAGTGTCCTCAAAAAACTAAAAATAGAAATTCCATTCAGCCCAGGTATTCCCCTTTTAGCTTCCCAAAAGTGTTCAAAGACACTGTATTATAAAGATACATGCATATGCATGTTTACAGCAGCACAAATCATAATAGCTAAATCTTAGAAGCAACCTGTATGTCCATCAACAGATGAATGTATAAAGAAAATACATTATTTATACAACATAGAGTGTAACTCTAAGGGGTGATGCATGAGTCATTTGTAGGAAATAGATGCATTTTGAGATCACAACACTAAATTGTAGGGAATGACACAAGGCAGAGACCAGCCAAGACCACTAGGATTGTGTAAAGCCAAAATACCATGGAATTTACTGTGCTTGAGTGCAGGCAGGCAGAGGGTGAAGAGGCTGTTTGCAGGGAGCAGAGAGTACTGGGGATTTCTTTTTAATAGGGTTTGAGAGAAGGAAAGGGAGATTAGGCAAGAAGATCTTAGTAAACTTCAGTGGTCAAGTTCTCTGGCTGTTTTGTGCCTCAGTAGGTAAAGTCTGTGAGGTATCTGAGAGACTGCTTGGGTGTCTTTAGACATCCAGGTGCTTGCAAGAGTCCATGTTCCATCTTATCTCTTTTAAGACAGTTGTTAAGGGCAGCCCCAGTGCTGTAAGAACAATGCCTCTGTTGGCAGACCAGTTGGGTTCTGGGAGAATCATGTCCAAATTAAGTCTTACATAAACGAAATAAATCAGACACACAAAGCTTAAATATCACAAGCTGTCTCTTATATGAGAAACCCAAAGTATAAATAAATTAGAAAAATAAAATATAACAGGAAAGAGGGAGCTGGATCTTTTGCAAATGCAGAGGGGACTGAGAAATGGAGGACAGAAGGCAGAAAGGGGACATAAAAAAAACTAAGAAGTGCTATGTATATGTACAAATTGTCCATGATGAATGTAATTATTGTATACTGCAAATATTTTAAAGTAAAAATAAAAATTAAAAAAAAAACAAATATAATATTTGAGGCTCCAGGTTCAATCACCAGAACCAGCAAAAAATATTAGTGAAAACTGGGGGAAAAAAATCCTACCAAAAACAGAGACGATGAACTAGCACCTTCTGCAGCTAATTTCTAATTTTATTGTATTATTTCCATAACCCGGTCTGCCAGAGATTCTCATTTTAAAACTTAAAATTCTTTATTTTTAACAAGCACTCCTGATGACTGCAATGAAAATGATCTGTGAAACACTTTGAAGAGTATCCTTGTATATATATATATATATATATATACACTTTCTACACTAAAACATCTTTAATTAAATCGAAGCTTTCGTCCATTCCCATGGTGAGTGACAATAACACTATTCAATCCTTTTTAACTTCTGTACTTCCCTTCTTCACTGCATTCCTGCACTTAATGCACTTATTCCAACACACCCCACGTATCCTCTTGCTAGCCACTTAGACATCCACCATGAAGGTACCCAGGAAGAAACAGTTCTCAGCAAAAATTACAATCAATTTCCTTTTGTTTTGCAAATCAGCAAAGTTGGAAACCAGAAGTTTAAGAGATAGTCAAAATGTTTGGTTTTGGTTGTTAAAGCAAACACACGAGGAAGTTGGGTCAGGCATGTTTGTGCACACCTCAAACACCAGCACTTCGAAGGCTGAGGCAGGCAGATAGCCACGTGTCCAAGGCCAGTCTTGGCTACAGTGACTTTAAGGCCAATGTGAACTACACTGTAAGACCCTGTCTCAAAAAAATCAAATAAATAAATAAAATTAAAATGAAATTGGGTTGTTGTTGGTAGTTGTTTTTGCTGGATTGAATATTTTTCTTTCAAGGCAATACCAATAAATGTAAGTTTTCAAAATTCAACTAAAAATAGCAAAAAGCAAAAAAATTACTCCAAACAACTTCAGGAACAATCATGTTTAGTACATCTTTTCTTTTTTTTTCTGTAGACATACAAACATACACACATAATGTTTGTAACACAGTCTCTAATTTTAGCCAGTCATATACTAGGAAATAAAATGAAGTTAATCTAAGTCACTTAGCAATGTGATAAAATCCACATCCGAATAGTATTATTTTAACCTCAAGAAACGGAAAGGTCACCATGACTTAAACGTTTGTGTTAGACGCAAGTAAAAGCCTGACATGGTGCTAACGCTTAAATTCCAGGCTGTTTTATAACGCGAAGTTTCTAAAGTTTAAGAAAATCTTGGGTCATTAAAAGAAAGGTAAAGAATCAAACAACTAAGTAACTCTTACGTACTAAGTACAATACCAGAAAGAGTCACCTGGGGACGAGGGATCTGGTGGGCTCTCTGCATCAGACCCCAAACTGGGATTATAGTGTCCAAACAAACATCAAAATTGCTAAACCCAAGGGAAGTAAACAAAAAACCTGCGGTGATGGTCAATACTGGGATTGTTGCCAATCTCAGAACAGAAAGGTGTAGGAAAAAAAAGGCCTTTGTGGGGATCAAAACAACACTTGCTAGTAATTCACGCAGATCTGCCATACACGAGTACATGCTATTTATTAGAAAGGAATGGCTTGGCGAGGGATCCCTAAGAGTAGATAATAAAGTTAGCAACAAATCCTATTCCACGCCGGACAGAAAGTACAGTCATATATACATACCAGGTCCCAACGCAAGAGAGTCTAGGACCCTGGGCTGGCCCAGGAAGCTTCCCAGGTTGGGTGCAGCAGCGGCACCCTCCGCAGTTGTTATAGTAACCACGCCGACAGACGCGCCACGGCCGCGCCACGGAATTCGCAGGCACGGTACAAACTGGACTCCCTGCTTCCTGCCCAGTAACAAAAGCATAGTTAGCGTTTAACCTATAACCTCACCTGCAGTTTCTGTAAGACGCGCTTAGCTTCTTCCTCTTCATCAGCCATCATTCCCCCAGCCACTCTTGACTTCTCCGCCCCCAACTTTATAACCACAGAGACTCAGGCTCACACCTATCAGCAAGTCACAGCGACATCTAGGGTTCTGGAGGCTCACATGCACCTGAAGACCATTGCTCGGAAGGAACTAATGCTGCGCCTGTACAGGAATTCAAAAGTGCTGGGAGAATACTTTGGATTTGAGAAAATTCTTTCCCAGGAGCTATGAGTGTATCTCAGTGGACAGTGCCTTCCCAGCGTGTGGAAGGGTCTGGTTCGGTCCTCTACACCACACACACACACACACACACACACACACACACACACACATCCCATACATACATGAGATAAATTTTGTTTCCAAATTCTGGAAACGAAATGTTCTCAAATTAATGACAGTATGTTTTTGTTTCGTATTTTTATCAAGATTTTAATACTCTAGCCGGGAGTGATGGCGCAGTCCTGTAACCCCAGCACTCAGAAGGCTGAACCAAGAGGATGAATAGACCGTCTTAAAAATCCAAAAAACCAAACACACACACACACACACACACACACACACCAAAAGAACAATTATAATAGTCTAAAAAATACAGACTGATGCCTGTGTCTATTTGAAATTTCAAAAGGAATGTATAGTAATATAATGGTAATCTTTTTCAAACTTTGCAGATTTTCTACAGGCGAATAATTTTTATCATTTTGAGCACACCACTGTGATATTACATTGTGGATGTCATTATAAAAACCACTGTGAATCCATGTGTGGAGGCGCATGCCTGTAGTCTTAGCACTTAGGAGGCTGAGGCAAGAGAATCACTATGAGTTCAAAGGCAGCCTGCATTACACAATGAGACCCTGTCTCAAAAGGAAAAAAAAAAACACTATGCTTAATACTAACATCCTTTACACATTAAGTACTTTCAATAGACTCCTAAGAATATCTCTGGAGAGAGAACCAAGGGGACTGGGAGCTGTGGAAAAGAAAGTTCTTTTTATTGTGTACTCTTCCAAATTTTTTACCATATACATGTAACGCCTATTAAAAATAAACACAAATGTTAAATTTTAAAAAATTGCTTCTATTTTCTCTAAAGATACAGGACAGTAACAAAAGTAACTTCTAAAAAATGGAATTGAGAACCTTAGGGACAAAGATAAAACAGATTTTTATCCTATCTTTTTATTCTACCTTCTGAATTTGTATGATATGAATGTATTTAACTCTTGAATATATTTTTGAAGTACCATGCAATATTCCTGACAATTTCTCTTTGCTATTGATTGGGGAGACTAGGTAGTACTTGTGGGTGAATCCAGGGCCTTTACACTAAGCTACAACCCCATCCTTTTTTATTTATTTTGATAGGGTCCCCCTGAATCATTAAGTTGCCACTTCCAGGCTCAAACTTACCAACCTCCCAGAGTGTGGAATTTCAGGTGTGTGTCACTATCCCTGATTTTCTTCACTTTTCAAAATAACTCAAACATTTTTCAACAAAATTTAAAACTGTATAGGGAAGGAAAATATTTTGTACTACAATAGATATAACAGCTACAAAATAGGGGCGTTTTAAAATTTCTAAATTGAGATTTTTAACTTTGGAATACAGCAAGAAATCTTTTTGAAGAAATCTCACACTGTTTGCTATAATTGAATAGCAAACAAAACTATTTACTTGCTATTCAATTACATAAAGTAGGAGTATTCATGTCCCTTTCTACAGTGAATATAAAAATTCCTCAAATGATTTCAGTATTATCTTTTATAAACTAAAAATCAAGAGTATTTGACACTTAGGGAGGCTGACACAGGAAGAACCCAATTTCAAGTCCAACCTGGGCAACTTATTGAAATGCTATATCAAAATTTAAAATTTAAAATGTATGTTATATATTTAGGTATGGTGGCAACATGCTTGTAATCTCAACACTCAGGAGGTTGAGGCAGAATGATCACCATGAGTTCAAGGCGACTTTGAGGGCAGACTAGGCTCCATATATTTTCACCCCTCTGGGCTACATGTTGAGTTCAAGGACAGCGTAAACTACATAGTGAGATCCTGTCTCAAAAAATTAACTAATTATTAAAATAAAATATATAAATGATTGGTGCTACAGTCAGTGCAAAGGCTCTGGATTCCATTCTCACTACTGTAAAATAGATTAATTAAATAAAACAGGTTTTAAAAAGAAAAGGGATTTGGCATTTAGGGTAATTCCACTGCAATGCTTCCCAAGCCAGTAAGACTTATTCATAAAATTTATGAGTTATAAAAGGTTGTATGAACAATTGAATCTGTCTTTTATTTTATAGACACAGAAGGTAAAGCCTAAAAAGATTAACTGAATCTCTTATAACCAATATATGGACATAACCATAATTAGAACCCATGTGTCCTGCTTCCGTAATCTAAGTGCTTTCAAGTCTTGACACTAACAAGACATAAAGTTACTGAGATTGCCCTTCAAATTTCTTTCTTGGCTCTGTTTTAAATAATTAAGCATAACAGTTACACATAATTTAATTTCTGTAATAATAGAAATGCTTACTATTTAATAAAGGGAAACATACAGTCTTTTAAATTATTTTAATATAAGTGCAAATACAAAAAGTACATACAAATAGCAAGATAGATCATTCACCATTTTCCAAGACTAAAACTTTCACACAAATATATAGGAAAATAAAACAAAATATCAACGAATACACTTCCATACACATATATGTGTAAATACCAGAATCCAAAGTGACATGTAGACATATAATAGATGGCTATGGACACATGCATGGATGCAAAGCTCAATCAGAAACTACTAGGAAGAAACAATGATCTGTGAAATAACGTTACCTTTTCATTAGTGGTAAAAATTCCACAGTACACATAAAAATTGAGATTAATAAAATGCTCATGCTTTAAATAATAGAAATAAAGAAACTAGACACTAATGTGTCGAGGCATTCTGAACCTCGACTACCATAGAATTTCTTGTAAATTAAAGATATGAAGACAACTTCAAAGACTTAATAGCTCAAAGACAATGATTTATAGCATAAAGATTATATGATAACTGAAACTACTGAAGACAGACATTCTGTAAAGTGAGTTAAATTTTTTTTACTTTAAAGGCCCTGTTTGATACTTGCTGCTGCTCTAATTCATGACTTTGAGAGGCAAAACTGAAAAAGCTGTTGCTGGGCTCAGGTGCTGTGGGAGAACCCACAAAAAATGGTCTGAACTGAAAATCTTCATCTCCACCACCCCGATTTCCAACTGGTATATTGTCCAAAGGAAACTTGGAATTGTTCCCTAGAGAAAAAAATTAGGGAAGAACATAAGCATCTATTTCTTTATATACCTTTAAAAATAAAAAGACAAAATCCATTCTAAAACTATTTTACAGAACTCAACTCATAAGATGGATAAAATACAGTCCAAACACTAAACAAAAAGAATCAGAATGTCTTCCACTCTCTCCATGACCACACCACCATATATACTATTCCACCTTTTGTAATGCAGTTTCCACTGATAGTCATTATCTCATCACTAAAACTAATTTGACACAATGAAGTGTTTTTGGTAGAGCTAAAATTTATGGTATCACAATTTAATGCATTTGTTTAATCCTCATCAAAAATATATACATACACATAATCTTTTGCCTTAGGTTGTCCAGGAACATTTTTAAAATTTAGTAATATACACCCTCAAAAATATATGACAAGGGCTTGGGATTTAGCTCAGTGGTGTAAGTGCCTGCCTGGCAACTGTGAGGTCATGAGTTCGATCCCTGGTACCAAAAAAAAAAAAAAAAAAAAACCATATATATATATATATATATATATATATATATATATATATATGACAATGAAAAATATATATGACAATAAAATATTGGCATACACCCATGACCCAATATCATTAGCAAAAGTTTAAGAAAAGTCAGCCAGTTCTGATGAAATAAACACTTAAATACTTTCACTGAACCTATCTTGGCTTTTACAGGCTTTAAAGAGAACAAGTAGGTAACAGAAATGCCAACTACATCTGCGTCAAGCTAACAGTGGCAGCAAGAGCCAAAAAGACAAGAGCATTAAAAACAAGAAAAAGAACAGCAAGAACAGGTGACAGAAGTCAAAATAAAGGTGAAGAGTGACAAAAAATATCCACAAGGTCCTTTTACAATAATATTAAATTACAATATATGAGTAACTGGGGACACGTGAGTTAGCTCAGCAGCACAAGTGCCTGCCTGGTAGGCGTGAGGTTGTGAATTTCATTTATGGTACCCCCCCAAAAAACTCCAAAAAACAAAACAAAAACATATATGAGTAACTGAAAGGCAGAAACCTGTAACTTAGATGCCTCATCTTACCACCTCATACTCTTCTAGGCCATCATCTCCTTTCCCACTGTATCTTTTTCCTCACCCTACAATATTTTTTAAAATGAGAATATAGGTAAATTTAATACAAAAGGTTTTACTTTTTTTCTTAATGCCAAAAGCAATTTATACTAACAGCATAAGAAAAATTCTGTTGCAACATGAATAGTGTACAGAAGAAAACTGAGGAAGAGATAAATTCATCTGCAATGCACCTAACAAGCATTTTGGATTATGAACTTTCAGAAAGCAATAATCCTATCTGGATAATTTTTGTATCTTCATTGCTTAGAATCCTATCCAAATGCTGGGTGTGGGGCACACACCTGTAATCCCACTACTTGGCGACAGGAGGATAGCTGTGAGTTCGAGGTCAGCCTAAGTTACTTAAGTGAGTTCAAGGCAAACTTGCACTACATAGTGAGACTGCTTCAATAAAAATCATGTCTAAAGACCTGGCGTGCAAAACATACATAAGTACCTCATGAATGGATAAAAGTATAAACAGAAAGATGAACCAACAAATTTACAATAATTTAAGAACTGTGCGATTAGTATTGGTTTGTGAAAAAGAAAGAAAGAAAGAAAGAAAGAAAGAAAGAAAGAAAGGAAGAAAGAAAGAGAAAGAAAGAAAGAAAGGAAGGAAGAAAGAAAGAGAAAGAAAGAAAGAAAGGAAGAAAGAAAGAAAGAAAGAAAGAAAGAAAGAAAGAAAGAAAAAGAAAGCAAGCCAGCCAACCTTCCTGGAGAACAGCAAATGGCTGAATATAGGCTCTGTAATCATGACGAAGTTACAAGTGACAATAATTGTACTCATCTCACCCATCTCACAGTTTTGCAAATTACATTAATAAAAGTGCTCACTACTAAGAAAGGAATCAATAACTACCAGCCAATATATTTCTTAATGCAAAAAAGTAGATTTAACTTGAAATGTAACTTTCAAACTTTTTCAGAGATAAACTGCTCAAATTAAAGGTGTAAACTGGGTGTGGTGGTTCACTCCTATAATCCTAGCACTCGGGAGGCTGAGAGAGGAGAATCATTTCCAGTATGAGACCAACCTGGGCTACAAAGAGAGCCCAGTGCCAACCTGAACTGCATAGTGAGACCCTGTCTCAAAAAGTAAAAAAACAAAAAACAAAAAACCCCACCTAATTGGACAACTATTGTGAAGATAAAGAGATATACATAGTACCTATTACTACAGGTACTAATTGCTTTGAAGTTCTGTACCAATGTCACTACATTGTCTCGATTGGTTTTGTTCTGTCTTGCTCTGTTGCATTTTTACTATATTAAAAATAAAATTTAAAAAAAGTAAAAAATTCCCTAAAGATGTAACTTAAATGTAACCAAATACAACAGATAAACGCAGTAACATTGGTTGAGACATGGTTAAAAATCCATAGCTTATCATGACTCCACATTGGGAGTCTCCCTTAACTGCATGGACCTATGCAGAACACAATGTGAAAAACCATAGGTTTAAAGAACAAATACTGGCTATCACGTGTCCTTTCTTACCTAATGGGAAACCAAAAACACCAGCCTGTGTAATCATAGATGGTTCAAGGTTGCTTTCTTGGTTAGCAATAGTGATATTTCGCAGCCTGAGACTATCATAAAGGCCTTGGAGCTTTTGATACTGGCGATTGCGCTCCATAAGTTTCTCTGAAATATCACTGAACTTTTTCTTGTATTCTTCTAGCACTTTTTTCATGGAAGTGACCTCTCCTTTCATAGAGGTCAATTCCACATCCTTGCTCTGTATTTGTTGAGTATATATTTTCTCCATCTGTTTCAGATGGCCCTCAGCCTTGCTGAAATTGTATTCTTGATAGAGACGTTCCTGATGTACCTGTCCCAGTAAGAAAAGACAGACTTTTAAGACAAAGATTAAAAGTTATATGTTACAACACTTCATACAAACACAAAAGGAAAAAATGTTTATACAAGGGTCTTAAAAATGTTTTTATTTTTATTTTCTTCTTGTTTGCAGTACTGCAGATTGAACCCAAGGCCTGCATTCTAAATTATATCCTCAGCCTCTTTTTTATGACATGGCCTGCATCTAAACTATATCCTCAGGCCCTTTTTTATGAATTTTGAAAAAGGTCTTGCAAAGGCACTAAATTGTCTAGTCTGAGCTGGAACTTGCAGTCATCCTGTCTTAGCCTCCCACAGGGCTAGAACTACAGGCAAGTACCAACATGCCCAGGGTTTGAGTAAAGATTATGTAGAGAATTGTTACAATTGTAAGGGGGGAGGACTGCAACTGAAATAAGCAAACTGAAACAGGAAATTCATAAAAGAAATACATGAAAAAATTTCAAGAAAATATGTTCCTCTAAAATTTATCAAGTAAGTTGTGCATGGTTGCACATGCCTGTAATTAGCACTTGAAGGCTGAGGCAGGAGAATTGCTACAAATTTGAAGCTAGCCTGGCCTACATAGTGTGTCAGAACCAGCCTGACCTATCTAGCAACACCTTGTCTTAAAATTCCTAAAAAAAAAAAAAAATTAAAAAAAATATATATATATAATAAATCATCAATAAATAAATGAATTCATGAAGAACGAGAGTTTATGTTACCTACAGTCTACTTATTATATATGGAGAACTAAGCAACCTCATATAGATCTTCAGAACAAATAAATGGATATGCCCTACTAGAGAACTATTTTTAAATATTGTAACTAAGAGTTCAAAATGGACCAGGCATGTAATGTACCCCTTAATCTTAACACACACAGGAGGTTGAGGCAGGAAGATTGCAGGTTTAAGATTAGGCTGGGACAAGTTGGTGAGAGCCTGTCTAAAACTAAAAAATAAAAAAAGGCTGAGGATGTAGCCCAGTAGTGAAGCGTTTGCTTAGCAGGCACAAAGCTCTAGATTCAGTCCCCAGGAGTGCACACACACACACACACACACACACACACACACACACATATACACATGTACGCACAAAAGCTTTTAAAATGTATTTATCTGCTTTCAGCAATTTAATCTTATCCATAAAAAATACAAAGTGATGATAAAGTGGTCATTTTCAATAATTTAGCAACAAATGATTATTATGATTGCAACCATTATAGAATAGTTAACAAAATATTCATAATAGACATAACATACTGCTTAACCTTATTTGTGTGGAATGTATGCAGCGGGGTGGGTGTGCTGGGAATCAGACTCAAGGCTTCATGCATACTAGGTATATTCTCTGTCACTGGGCTATACCCCCAACGCTGTCAATTCTTTTTTTTTTTTTTTCTTTTGGTTTCTGGAGACCTACTACTCACTATGTAGTTCAGAGTGGCCTTGAACTCACTATATAGCCCAAACTGACCTTGAATTTGTGGCAATCCTCCTGCCTCAGGCTACTGACTGCTGAGATTGTAGGTGTGCTTCACTAACTCCCAGAATTCTGTCAACTTTAAGTGGGCATAAAACCCATATGTGGTATTATCCTATTTTGTACAAAAATATATATTTATGCACAAACAAAAATATCAATAATGAGCTGCTTGTCTGGGCAGCACATACACTAAAACTGGAACAATAGAGAAGACTAATATGGCTTACACAAGGATGACTCACAATTCATGAAATGCTTCATATTTTAAAAAAATAGGCTGGTGGTGCACTCCTGTAATCCCAGGGTGGAGGCTGAGGCACAAGGCTCACTGTGCATGTGAGGTCAGCCTGGGCTACAAAATGAGTTCATTGCTAGCCTGAACTACATAGTGAAATCCTGTTTCAAAAAGACAAGAGAGAAGGCCAGGGATTTAGCTTAGTGGCTCAAGTGTTTACCAGTAAGCGTGTGGTCATGAGTTTGATCCTCAGTACCAAAAAAAAAAAAAAAAAAAAGATAAGGGGGGAAATTATATATATATATATATATATATATATATATATACACACACACACATATGCATGTATATATATATACACATATGCATGTATATATATATATTAACAATGGGTATCTCTGAATGATAAAATTATAGAATTTTAAAAAAAAGTTTTCCAGCTCTTGGATTTTCAACACTACTTCTGAAAAACGAAAACCTTTTATTAAAAAGAAAGCTTTCCATATAGTCATAAAAACAAATATAAAATAGTGAAGGAAAAACATTAGCAATCCCACATAAGCTTACACTCTCAGAGAGAAACCACTCTAAACACTAACCTGGTATGTCCAGAAGGCCAACGCTCGCGAGCTAATGTCCAATACAATCTCTGGCCGCAACCCTGCCAATACCATAGCTTTGTATTCCTCTGATGGACTGAGTTCTGTGCGGACAATATCTAACTTTCCAGAAAGGGTACTGTTGCAAGCAGGGCAGACAGCAGGTGAACGACTAAACTCACCGCTGCCATGCTGATCACAGAAGATGTGAGAGCAGGCAGTGACCCATGCATAACCAGACAGTTTGATTCGACACTTTCGATAATTACAAAGCAACATGTCTTCACACAAAGACATGATAGGTCTTCAGATGCTGAAGAGACCTAAGGAAAGGTAAATGAAAAGAGAAGTCAAATTGCAACGACAAGTAAACAAACAAAAAAGTATGCTTTATTTTATTTTGATAAAATAATGTATTTTTAGGTTTTCTGTATTTATTATAATCACTATTATCACACTGCTTTTTCTCTCAACAATACTATGTTCCTTTCAATGGCCATAAAAATATCTTTTAAGAAAAAGTTAAATGGACAGGTGGCTCTAAATCTTACTACAGTCAATAGTGTGCATATGGAAGAAAGTTTAGGAACATCTATAAAGTACAAGCAAGTAAAAATTAAACCGGTAACTTTTACCATTAGTCAATACCTAAACAAAAGCCCAAGTTTCTTATCCATTCATATTCTGCTATAATATTTTAGTACCTCATCTCACACTTAGAAAACCTAACAGTCCAGTAATGATTTACACGATTTTTCAATATAAACTACGTTTTAAAGTTTTCCAAAGCTGACTTCGCGTATCCTTTGCCTATTTTTCTTTGATTGAAAAACACTAGCTGCCTGTTAGCATTACACAGGAATAATTTATCCCTGTAATTAACAATTATGACACTTGAAAATCTGCATAAAAGCTGCTTTTTTGTAAACTCTTTTATCATCAATTAAACAATATATTAAATAGAACTCCATACCATGTCTTGATTTAAAGTAACTTGTAAAAGTGAATTCTCTAGGTTGTTACTTTTCAATAGTGTTCACTTTCATTAGAATTTTACTATCCCAAGTAGCAGTATTCTGAACACATGAAAACAAGTCATATATTTTGTGAAATAACAGTGGCATATCAGTTGTACATCAAGCAAAATTGTGCACATTTATCAATCCAAGTATAATGCCTTAGTCATAGGAACAGGCATTTTGATACCCGAACATTCTTGATGAATGAGTTTCCACAAATGTCACCTGGTCACCAAAGTTAATGAGGTCTATTTTATCTCCAGCAGAGTAATGGGCATAAAGGAAGCAAAGGAGGAGGAAAACTTTTGAAGCTGAGACCCTTCCCAGGCAGAGAAAAAGGTGCATCGAATTCCGAATTTTACACAAGGGAGCGGAAAGAACCAGTGTAGCGGGCTGAAGGTCAAGGCCCTATTTTGAGTTAGAAAGTCAAACAATTAACCCTGAAATTTTCGGTCAGCTTCCTAAGCTCAACAAAATAACACAATACTGCAAATAACGTTTCGGGCTGACGAGGGACCCGTGGCAGGAACGCAGCTGCCCTCAAAACTCAAGCACCTGCAAGAATTCGGAGCGCGGCGCCGCTGAGTGAGAGGGCGCCAGGACAGAAACACCGGGGCGTGCCGGGAGAGGCCCGAAGCATCATGGGACCTGGGAGGCGCATGCGCACTTGGTACTTCTGGAGACGACCTCTGCCAGGGTGCAGAGGCAAACGTGTGGAGAGAGTGCCCACTTTCTAGCTGCACAGATGTTGCTACTGAGAGCTTGTAACTATCCTGGAATGACACAACAGCAACATCCCCCTACTGGGAGAAAGTTTTAGTTTGGGTAGAGCAGAGTGAGTAGCAGAGCTGGTTGGAGCACCAGCGTCTGGTACAGGCAGTTAAGTGTTCAAGGATATTGTTGGGGAGTCACAGGCGGGCAGTACAGGCTAGCTTTCAGAAGAAAATTCCCAGAAAATGGACCATTCCTGTAATTGGACAATCAAATTCGAGGTTGATTCTGCTATTTTATCTTTGGGAAAGACATCTTTTCAGCTTTTACGCACTGAGTAAATACATTTAAAGAAATTACAACTTTTCCTTGAGCCTGCATTACAGGCAGTGATTATCGGACTTGACTAAGGGACAAAGTCAGTGTCATAATTTTGAGGTAATATGCTATTGTCCCACGTGGAACTGGCGACAGTGTTTAGTGTTTTAAGCTGTTAAGGGTCATTTTTCTTTGCTCTTGTGTGCATACATAGCAACTAACTTTTCTGCTTAAAGTATGTGGACTTGTTAGATTCACACACACACACACACCCCAGTAATTTAGCCCAGGGCCTGGAATACGCTAATGACTAAGTGGCCTGCCACAGAACTACAATCCCGATTTTTTTTTTCTTTTTTGAGAGAAAGTCTCAGTAAATTGGCCTTTTCTTAGTGCCATTTTTAAGCTTCTCACCTTGGCCTCTCAAGTAGCTGCGATTACAGATCTGTGCCATCATGCCCTTGTTAGAGTTAATACTAAAACCATAGTGAGTCAGAGGGCTAGGAGGGTGCTCAAGATGCAAACTTGAAAGCCCACTTTTTCAGACGACGTTATCCTATTATGAATTAGTAACAAGCTGGGTATCCCAGCACTCAGGAGACAGAGGTAGAAAGACTGGAAGAATTCAAGGCTAGTCTGCACTACAAAGGGAGACCCTGATGCAAAAACAAAACAAAATACCGCCCCAAAATCCCTAAAACAAAAACCAAAGAATGGGTAACGAAAATCCTGCAAGTCCTTTTCTGAATTGCGAACTCATAATACTAAACCATTTTATTTCAAACAAAAACCTGTCCTAATTAAGCAACTTTCTGCTAGTAAATGAATTTTGGGACTAACTGGAGTCACAGAAAACTGGAGGTTGCTGTGTATACCATGTTCCCTAACATCTGTTTTGGCAAATTGAACCATTTGTGCATTTTCTGGTTTTAACTGCTCCAAATGCAGAAATAGTAAGTACAAAAGAGGTACAATCATTTCAAAGTGCAGTCTTTGTTCAAGAAGATAAAGTATTCAAATATCAACCAATACCTAACTTTGTGTTCCTAATCAAGTCACCTATGTAATCTTTTCCTGAAGATAGCCAAATTAATAATACTTTGCATTAATTCATTTTAACAGCCATATATTGCAAATGTACAATTCATTTATCTCTTCTTCTAACTGACATAAGTTTCACGTTTTTACAGTTAAAACAGTATTGCCCTGAAACTTCTGTACATATATCAACCTTGAGTTCACATGCCAAGAACTCCTTCAGAATATAATAGCCAGGGGCTGATAGAATGTGTAAGTATAAGTATAATGTGATAAGCTAAATGTTGCCCTCTTCAAAGTAATAATATAGATCTCACTGCCAGGAGCAAAGTATATGAGATCTCAGTCCCTGGACTCAGCAACATGCAAAACAGTTATTTCCCTTGTCCCTTATTTTCAGTAGTGTCCATCTGATGACAATGAAATAGTATTTCAGTGTTGTTTTAATGTGCAATTCTTTGATTACTTGTCAGGTTCAACATTTTTCATGGGAATGACTACATAGGAATCATCATCTGTTCATATCCTTTCTTTATATAGATTAATTGGCCAGTAAAAGGACATGCGAGCATAAGTTTGAATTTTCGTGCACATAAACTTATCAACTTTTCCTTTTTGAGTTTATATCAACTCCAATGGCTATTTTTTTTCTTTTGGTGGTGGTAGTGGTACTGGGGATTGAACCCCAGACCTTTATACTAAGCTACATTCCCAGCCCCACCCCACCCCCCACCCCCGCTTTTTTTTCTTTTTTGAGATGAGGGCCTTGCTAAATTGCCCAGGTTAGTCTCAAACTTGTGATCCTTATGCCTCCAAGAGACTCAAGGTCTTATCCATGTTTTAAAGGTTTTAAGATTTTGTCTTTGATGTACAGGTGTTTTTTGTTCATTGTGCTTAACATAAGGAGTCTAAATAACAATAAGAATTGTGTGGGGGGAAAGTCACTACAACATTCAAGAAAGCAAACATTCAAACCTCAGTCTTTGATGGAAATGCTAGTCTAGTTACATTTCTGTTATCACTGGTATATATGGAGTAGATATATATCAAAATATTGAAAATGGTGTCTTCCATCTGCTTTTAGAGTGAGGTTTAATAGTTAAAACTGATTAATAGTTAATATTGATGCAAAGAAAATGACCAACTATAAAGATAAAACTTATTATGGACATTTCTCATACACTGTATATTCAATGCCTCCTAAAGGATCGAGCAACACAGTCACATATTAAAAAGATGTAAGAACATTTGTGGGTACCCAGTTTAACATACTTATATACACTGTACATCAGTGTAAGTCCCAATTATTCTATGTGAATGTCTTGTCAAAATACCACAAATGGCTCCCATTTTCAGAAAACTTTAAGAATATATATATATATATATATATATATACATATATATCAATGGGAATTTCATTTCCATTCACTGAATATGTTTTGGAGTATCTATTCTGGGCCATATATAAGGAATAAAGAAGGTACTGCTTTCATCAAACTTACAGTCTAGCAAAGGATTAAGAATAACAAGAAAATAATATGTTCCTTTTTGTCACCACTTATATTTTTGCAAGATGATTCTGTAAAATTATTTCTGGTAAAGAGTCAGCTTTCATCTTTAATTTTTGAGAATCATCTACCTTCATGCTGTAAAGGAAATGATGTTTTTAAGACTGCCTTGAAATAAACAACTACTTCAGAAAGTTGAGTAAGCCATTTAAAATTTAAACATGAATGACTTCAAAGTGTTTCCCTTACTCCCAGAACCAGGTTCACTATAGTTCTTTCTTTCATAGCCCTAGATCACAGCTACTCAAACACTATTGCAATCAAAGCATTCTCTACAAACTATATCTCTATGATTTCAAGTTAGGTTTCTTTTCTTTTAAAAACAATCACAAGTAATTTTTTAAATTTAGACACATCACTTGCTTTGTAATTATTTGACTCAGCAAAACTCAGATGGAACTAGTAAAAAGCCAACCTATCCTCATGGTGTTCTAAGTAAAGACCGATGATGGACCAAAATCTCACTGCGTATAGCGCTAAACAGTTGAGAGGAACAGTCATTGAAGTTTGTCTCCAACCACATCTTTTTTTTTTTTTTGAGACAATGCATTTTAGGCTGGTCTGTAGCCCAGACTGAGCTTAAACTCAGAGATTCTAGTGCCTCAGCCTCCCAAGTGTTGGAATTACAAGCGTGTGCCACCATATCTGGCCTTCAATCACATTAAGAAAAATTTATCAAAAAAAATAAAGGCATCAAGGATATCTTCATACAAGGTGTAATCAAATTATAGCTGGAATTACAGATCAAATTATGTAGTGAATGTTTCAACTTAAAAATGTATGATAGTAAAACACACATTGTAATTAATTCCCCTCAAATATTCTCCTTCTCATCAAACACATTTGTCCCACTGTTCTTGCCATTCTCTGATGCAGTTCTGGAAATTCTCTTTCAGATCTTTATGAGATGTGGAAAGGTAGGCTTGTAAAAAACATTATAGTATGTCTTCATCTACCTTATTCACTAGATCTAGTCTCATATGAATTCTGGCTTTTCCCCAAAGTCCAAATGATTATGAAAGGAAAATGTTTTGAATAGATTTAGGACATCAAGGCAGCCACAACAACACAACTAAAGGGAATTGCTATCTCAAAGAGAAATTATATTGTTTGATCAATCTTGTGTGCCTATATCTGATAACCTGAGCAACTATTTTGAAGATAACAATACATAATATAACAACGATTGTTAAATTCCTATCATCTTGTTTTGAAATCCTGTATCACTGTTTTTTGTTGTTGCTGTCATTTTGCTTATGTTTTGTTGTTTTATGATTGTTTGCTTCTTGATTTTTCTGGTTTTTTTCTTTAAAATTAAAAATAAAAAGGAAAAGAAAAGGACATTTCACTAAAGAGGACTTCTAGAACTGCATCAGAAGGTAACATGAGTAATTGAATAAGCATATTTGAAGGAAGGGGGATTATTTGGAGGGAGATTAATGGGGTCATATCCTTTATTAATTTTTTAATTTAAATATTGACTATATACTTTGACCATACCTTGTATGATAGGAATCATTTCATCTAAATAAAAACTAGAAGAAACCATTAAGGATTAACTGATTTAGCTAGACAACATTATGAGAAATTAGTGTCAAACCAATATTAACCAATTAAAAAAAGTGTTACGAGAACAATTACATGTAGTCCTATTACCATGCTGTATCTAATTTTAGAAAAATGTCAGGCCTTGATTGCTATGGAAGAATAAGTGGTAGGCCTATTGGCAAAGACACAGAAACAATAAAAACAAAGAATCTCTGAAAATTTATATGCAGATGTAAATGATAGATCATCGGTTTAAACCCAATCTGTTTTGAGAACTGAAGTCTAACTACTATACTATGCTAACACTCAATTTTTAAAAAATAAAATTTAATTGGTTTTAGAAAAGAAGTAAAATTTATAGTACTTTACCAACTAGCCATGGAGTTACAAGCAAACTTTTCAAATATTCATGTTTATGTCTGAGCTTCTCAATCTCAATGTAAGCCTTACCATAAAGGAAAAATGCAGCCATCATCTATTGTCTATCCTGGATTTGCATGCCTGAAGCAATCCAAACTGCAGACACAAAACTCAGATCTGTTTCTGGTCTTTTCTGCAAAAGATAACCAAAAGCTAAAAAATCATTCTAAGAATTGATGTTATATAGAATTACTTAATACTTTCTGTATTTTACCCTAACATCTGTTTCATTCTTAGCTAAAAATACAGGCACAAGTAAAGAAGCCTGTCTGGTTTAATTTGCTTAAAATAATTTAAAATTATCAATACACGAATATAACAAAGTTAAAAAACACAGGTTTACAAAAATAACAAGGTCACTCATAGAACCCAATATTAGAGACAGTTACCCCCAGTATTTGCATTCATATATGTTTTCAGATGATTTCTTCAGCAAACATATGTATATAAAATGTTTAAGCAAAAACATATTTCTTTGTAGCCTGTTTTTAATTTCATAAAAACCCTTCCACTTCAATAAACATACCATAACTTTTAAATGGCTGTAGAGTATTACATTGTATGGTTCATAAAACTGACTTAGCCAACTGTAGGATTCCCTTAGCTTATATACACTGAGATATTAGTGATTTATTCAAAATTGCCATGCTAAGTAGTTGAGAGGATTACACCAATTACCACTGGTTTTCCCATATTGTAATTTTTAGATTAAGGATTCCTGCTCTTAGTTCTGTCTCAGTGTCACAGATCAAAGTACAAAGAAGTACTGGTCATAGTATCGAATTTATAATTCAAAAATTTAAGAATTTCCTAGTAGCATAGGTTAAATCCCAGAAAGAATTTAAACAAGGTGGCAATTCAGTTACAGGTGTTTTCTCCTAGCTTTAGTCAGTTAGGAGCATGTGTTTAATCAGGGTAATCACCTGAAACATGGACTTCCCATGCATTTCATCGTGGTAAACTGTACATAACTCCTGAAGAGTAAAGCACCACTGGCTTCTTCTAGCCAGGAAAATCTTCCTAAGGTTGGAACTTGGGCTTTAGCAACTACCAAATTTCAGCTACTAATAACACTGAACACCAAATCTTTCTAGATAAAAATGAAAATTTTTGTCTAACACTTACCTCTTGGTATCAGATGAGTCCAGTTGAACTACAGCATCTATCACTTACCTAGCATCATTTCTGGAAAAAAGTAATAAATACAGAAAGGTTATAATCACATGGCAACTAATACTAGTAAGCTTCATATCAAGCCATGAGGAAAATTAGACTGTTCACTATTTATGCAAATGTTTATTTGAAAAGACTATTTAAAAAAAAGAAAAGTCAACAGCCTCACAAAAAGAGTATGCAAAAGGAAGATCCAAGAAGTCATAAAGTTTAGATAAATGAAAAGGGCACTGCCTATAATCCCAGTTTTCAAGAGGCTGAGGCAGGAGGATCACAAGTTTGAGGCCAGCCTGCACTATATGGTGAGCCCAAGGCCAAGCCAAACTATATGGTAACAACCTCAAAAATAAGTCAATAAAAGCAAGTTATGCAAAAAAAGTTTTTTGAAGCATATTTTAAGTTTACTTATGGGCCAGGATTTACCTCAGTAGCAAGGTCATGAGGTTGATCTCTGGTACCAAAAACAAAAGAAACAAACAAATAAATAAATAAATTCATTTGAGTGAACATCAAATGTATTTAACCTTTACTTTTGGTCATCCTATCACAATAAACAAGCCAGCAAAAACCCTTCCCTTGACAGAGTAAAATTTAAGTAGCATCATCTGGAATGCAGTATGCCACACGATGGCAATGTAAGAGAGGCTTTAATTTCTTCTTTCACAGAGCTTGAGTGTAATCTGGACTTTGAAGTGAAATATAGGTTGGACATTCAGTTCATTGTTTCAGGAAACCTTCACACTATTCCTTACTCTTCACCTAGCTACTGGCTAGAAAATACTTTATACTGTATGCAATGATCACTTAAAACTCATTAGCTAAGGATGGGCAGGAGGTCAAGCTCAGAGGCAGAACATGTGTGAAGCCTGGGTTCAATCACCAGCACTAAAAAAAATTTTTTTTAAATTCACTAGCTAAAAATATCATATTTATATTTTTGCGATGCTCCTTTTCATGCAGCTATATAAAAATTTAAAAATCTATAACCTCAGATACCATCTAGTCAGGAAGACAAGCCTCATGAAAATTATTCTACCACAAAATAAATGGTCAATTAGTAGTAAACACCAAATAACTGGTAAAGAACAGCTAAAGTTAAAAAACCTGTGGTCAAGGACAGCTGCATGAAGAATGAAATGAGCTTTCTTAGCAGACCTTAAAGTTCCACATCCAATATGTCCCCACTTACTACATATAGTCAATTAAAAGTGAGTTTTATAGTCACATTTTAATGGCTCAATAGCCATCCGTGCCCATATTTGTACAAATACAGACCATTTCCATCATCACAAAAAGTGCTATTAGATGTCAGTACCATAAAAGATTAGTGTGACTAAGAGAAGCCACTGGAAGCGGTGCCTATCTTGCTTAATTCGCACTCTTTGTTGAACACTACACTACTTTGTTGTTCCTTTCAAGCTTCACAACCTCGTATTTACCAAAAAACAGCTTCAGAGAAGCTACATCAATTTATTCATGTCAACTAGTGGGATTTAAATGCAATTTTGTCAATACTCCACCCTCCATTTCATCACTGCACTTCCTACATGCAATGAAAAGCAGAGATACAGAAGATGGTGTGCTTTAGAACGTATTAAGAATGGTATACTGGCTCAGAACAGAAAGAAATGGAGGTGATTTAAGTACCTCAGAGACATATAATCAAAGGGTTTGTTTATTTTTTATAGTTCAGCCCAGCCTTGAACTCACTATGTCACCCAAGCTGGCCTTGAATTTATGGCAATCCTGTCTCAATTTCCCAAGTGTTGGTGTTACGGGCACGAGCCACCACATCAGGCTTTTACTTCTTTGTCCTGTACTTAAGTCACATTTTAATTATATAAAATGTGTTTAGGAATAGAGAGCTTGCCTAGTGTTATGGTTTGAAAACTAGTGGTCAACTTAATTGCCAGCTGGAATGCATCAGCAAGCATTGAGAGAAGATGCTCCACCTGAGAAGGGTTGCCATGATAAATAGGTGGAGAAGAAGAGAGGTGAGGAGAGGGATTGAGGCGTTATGGAGGCATTGTTAGTTCTCCTACAAGTTGCTGTCTGAGCTGTTGGTTCTCCTGGAGAAGCTTTGGTCTTCACATCGAGCATTGCTTCCTGGCTCTGGAGAGGAAGACATGTGCTGCCTGGCCTCCAGGGTGAACTCCTCAGGCTGCTTCCTGGCATGTTCCCGACTGTGCTTGTCGTCGGAGGAGCTCGGGGCCTCCGTGTCGCTGAGGACAGCTGTGGTTCCTTTCAGGACAGCCCCGCTCTTTGTTGTGAGTGTGACTTCTCGGCTCCAGTGTAGAACCCTCATCCCACTAGCACAGCTCCTTCATCCTGCTGGCATGGACTTTCTGGCTTCCACCGCTGACCCTTGGGTCTTCCTGGCATGAATCTGTAAAAGAGACTGGCGTGAGCCCTTGTGGGCCCTGGACTTCCAGTTGGACTCATGGAGGCATTGTCCTGAGCTCTGGGTTTTTATCTGGACTCATGTGGGACATTGCCATGGGGTTTAGGCTCCTGATTTAAATAATCTATGTTGTTGGTATTGTGGATAGATTTCCTGCATTTTCTTGTGTTAACTTTCAGTGACCATTATAAAAATATTATAAACTCCATGTCCTGACCTAAATTGTTCTCTGTGTACAACCCCTGACTACAACACCTAGCATGCACAATGACCTAAATTCAATCTCCAACTCTGCCATTAGGAAAAAAAAAGTTTCCAGACCAGCAGAATGCAAGATTCACTAGCAGAACATGCATAGGAAGCAGGACACAATGTCAAAAATTTCTACAGTTTTAGCAATACCTTAAAACTCCATGATCCACGTACTTCTTACAGGAGAATAATTAAAATTTAAACCTCTCTTCTCTAGCCATCTTATCTTACAAACAGCAGACTGCAAAGGGGCTGGTGGTCATGCTCTTGACGCATATAGCATGAAGCCCAACACATAAGTCTTGATAGTATATGTGCTGCCTTTCCCATCCATGGTGCTCCTTATAGGAGTCTGGTTACATTTCAGCAAGTGTCTTTCTACCACAATAGGCCACTTTATATTTATTTATTCTATAAATATTTTACAGCAACGGCCCATTTATTTTGTTGACTGTGGGCAGTAACTGTGCTTCAAAAATACTGCTATTCATGGCTAAAATGTACATTGTATTTGTATGAACAGGTGCTTCATGAATGCCCAACACAGACTACATATTTATAATACTAAATCAGCAGATACTTCCATTTTAATATTGTTTTACCATGCAACAGACTACCACAATAAACCTCCACTCTTTTTTTAGGTAGGAAAGACACACATATGTGTAACGCAAATGTTTGAAGAAAGCACATCTTGATCAAAATTCCAGTACCTCACACTTCTTATCAGGCGTCTCCAAATCCAAGCCACTTGTAGCTTTTAAAGGGTCCACAGTCATGGAGGCTTTCGCAGGGATAGTTCCAGGCTGGCACACAAACTGCTAAAGACTCAGATCTTATGTTCTTGGAGGAATTCAACTTCAAAGGAAAAAGAACAGGAAGTAAATGCTAAAATGATCATTTGGTACTGATGTTAGAGACAGTCCCATAAGGCACTGATACCAGAAAGGAGTCCAAGTTTTATCTCCCACTCAATGCCACTGTTTTGGCTAAGAATACTTATTATTTTAAACTCCAAGTGCAGAAGAAGTTAAGAAATAAAAAGTGGTAAGGTCAGAACCTAGCACTCACACACAGCTAATCCCAAATTCACTGTATTATTTCCCCTGGTTCCAGTCCCATCGCTGGTGAAACAAATGAAAACATGATGCCAGAAAGCTTTGGGCCAAGGCCACAGAAAGGAATATAACTCAAGAGTCAGGATGCAAGAGGAGCAAAATCATCCTTACTCTGTTAACTTGTTATTTTATCTATATCATAACATTTCATCTTAGAATTTATACAGCACTTTCCACACTTTACCTCATTTTGCAAAGTACTACTGTCACTTCCGTTTTAGACTGAATGGCAGGCAATTTAGCTTAGTGGCTGAGATACCAATTTTTGAAAAAAATTCTTCCCCACTTTTATGGAGCTATAAATTGACAAGATCACCATGTACTTGTCATAATGCTATGTTTTAATACCACTGTATGTAACATATCCATCACTCCACTTACTATGTGTACGTTATAAGAACACTTAAGATCTGGCAGTTTTCAAGAATACTAAATACATGATTAACTATAATCGCCATGCTGTACTACAGATCCCTAGAATTTATTCCTAACTGAAATGTTTTTACCCTTGGACCAACATCTCAATCCTTTCCATCCCCACTCTAGCACCTGGCAGCCATCCTCCTTCTGTTTCAGTGTTCATGTATAAATAAGAGATCGCTTAATCTTAACATGCTTAATAGGTTGTTTAACATGCTTAATATACTTTTTTTATTATTTGTTTAAAGTCAACCAGACTAAGAATGCAAATATGCTGCATAAAAATTTCATGCCCCTCACAATAACTCTATTTTTTTTTTTTTTTAATCAGGAACTAACTCAGGACCTTGCACTTGCCAGTTCATAGCAACTCTAAAGGCTTGGTGTAATCCTAGCACTCCGGACACTGAGACAAAAATTTCACCATGAGTTCGAGGCCAGCCTGGACTACATGGCATTACCTTTTCTCAAAAAATAAAAACCAAAAAACAACAGCACAATAACTCCGAAGGCACAAGTGCTGTGACCCAATGCGGCTCCTGAGGTTCTTTGGAGTTAAGGACCAGTGAGAGGATGAGAAAAATAAAGAAAAGACAAAGCTGGGGTCAGGGGGAGCCCTTATCCTCCTCATGGGAGGAAAGGAACTGCTCGACCACTGTAGCACCTTTATTTATAAAGATGATGTCAATTTCAGCCCCTCTGCCTAGCTACCTATTGCTTGGCAGGCCTGGGCCCCTTGCCTTCTGGGTGCTGGAACAGCTTGTTTACACAGCTTGTTTTGATCTTTCTGTTTTTTCTGGGCTGGCCTTGCTTTAGCCCCACACATCTGATCAATCTACAGCTTCCATGGCTCCCAACATATCCCTCTTTTTTGTTTTGTTGTTGCACAGGACAGTTGAAGCTGGAGAAGCTGTGTTGGAGAGCTCGATAGATCTTTTTAAGTGCAGTCCAAAGATTTTAAGTCCCTGCATTCCACAATTGAAACCCTGTGTGCAGTCCATTAGTCTGTGACAGTAGTCAGTTACCAGTATCTGGCAATTGCCAAAAAGTATTAGTGATTTGAGTTTCTTTTATAACATATTACTTCAGCATTGTTTTATATACCTCTGGTAGTTGTACATTTTCTGCAGGATGTTCAAGACCAACTTAAGGTGAGACCTGTTTTAAATACAATCAGTTTTTGTTATCAAGGTCAGTTAAGTCTCCTCAGGAATACCTTGGAACCAGCTGTAGCACCTCTCAGTTCTTCTGTCAGTGTCAGCCATTGCTTAATCAAGTTGCTTTCTGGAAAGCTTGTGAGATTTTTGCTTCTGGTGGCTCTCCTTAGGCACCACACACCGATGATCACTTTCCTCAGTGATCTCACAGTCTTCCTGATCAGAAGACCAGGGACTCACCGAGTATAGGATGACGCAGCAGAGTTTCTCCTGTGTCCTGAATTTGCACTGATCTTGGAGGGTTAAGGCCAAAATATTGGTTGTCCTCTTAGGCCATCTCTCTCTAATTGTTGGTCCCAGTTGTTGAACATACAGAAGAAAAGACTGATAACAGTACAATACAGTAGAGGCAGTAAGCATAACATTATCATCTTATCTAAATATCAAACATCTTACAACATCAAATAGAACCATTATTTTTTAACAATCATGGATGTTTTAATATTTGAATACCTGTAGGATGTTACATATTTTATATAGAAAATTAGAAATCAAAACCATATCTGATGTTATAACAAGAAAATCATGATGACTTTTTAAAAACACATTTGAATTTGCATTTTTTTAAAAAGAGAAGGTATCCCCTTTCTGGTCAATCATTCCTATCTAACACATAAAAGTCTTTACCTAACTTGTTGACCTTCAGTAGGATGTACATCTCATAAGCATTTGTTAGAGGCAGAGGTCTGAATCTGAAATAAAAGTTTGTCCCCATAACAATCCCTGTTTTACATTTTCAAAGACTTGTATATATCTGGAGGCATGAATATATGAATACACCATGAGGTTGACAATAATCATTTGTCATAACCATATGAAAACCTTTGTATGGGCATTTTAAAAATCAAAAACCTTTTATATTATTTCTTTTAATGATGACCAATGTGAACATACTACAATAATATTTATAGAACTTTAGTTGGGGATGTCTCCCATAAGGCCCCTGATGGGGGCCTCCAATCAATGAACAAGAGCTGGTAAAATGTTACCAGGTGGCCACTTTCTTATTCAGCAGTAGAAGTCCTGTCCAACAATCCCAAACCCAAGAGATTTTTGTTTAATCATTTTTATAATATTTTTCTTAAGAAAACTCCAATCATAACATTTAATATATTTTTTTATCCGTACCGGGGATTGAACTCACGACTGCACTTAAGACGTGCTTACACAGCTGAGCTAAATCCCCAACCCCTAACATACTATTTTTGAACAAAGACAGACTCAAGTTATGGTAATCAACATGTACATTACATTTACACAACTGACTTTAGGATCATTTTGACTAACTGGGAACCCAGGTGGAAGCATGTTTTATAATTCTATAACTCAAATAAACTTTGATTAAGTGACCTATACATGCAAAAGAAAAAGGAAAATTGCTGAGCTCAAAATAAAAAGAACAGCTGTTCACAAACAGACAAATGGACAAACATGGACAGATGAATTGTACAGATTCAAACAGGTGTATAAATAAACACAGAGTTGTAGGTGTCCACAAAGACTCTCCAAGTTCCTGGGGGCTATTTCACACCCCTTTGCTGAACTAACTCGCTTCTTACATCCCGTGTCCTCAGGGTTGAAACACCTGCCACCTCTAGCACCCCACACCCTCAGGGTGTTTCTCAGGCACCCTGTGCCATTTGGACACTCCTGTATGGGCACTTGTGCTATTGGCTCCACATGTGTGAGTGATCAGTAGCTCAGTAACTTCCAACAACAGCTTAACAGACTGGACAAACAGACCGATAGATTCACAGGCAGACTGACGAACATCTTATACAATCAGAGTGCACTCAAATATATATTGAATTGCACAAATTTTTTCAGTTGTAGAATTTGTAATTTTAAATAGACTAGTCACATTTGTTGTAGGTCAGTTACCAAAGATCTGTTATCAAAGAATTTGAAAAAGACAAAATCTTATCTATAATTAACATATTTTTGTCTAGGACTTAGCATGCACTTCTATCATCTATTTAGACCTTTTTATTTTTGGTTACCATCTCCTGCACATCTTGGGTCAATTAAGGTTGGTTCTAGCTTCATGTCAGTTGTGACGTGGTCTCCAAGGCATCACTGTCATAGGACTGAGCATCAGCTTCTTGAGAGGTGGGATCAACTCCTTTCCTGGGTTTGGGCCCATGATATAGCTGGACAGCACACACTGGCACCCAGATAGGTTATTTAGCTTTTCCTGGAAAAATACAAGCAAACCCTCGACCCTACGTTAGCACTTGATTGGGTGCTTTTGTCTAGTATAAAGATCATTCCAATGGACTCTTTTTAGATTTGATTTATTTATTTGATTATATTATCTATCTGTTGAGGTAGTTACATCTTTATTAGAATTTAAATATTTTAAATGGTATATACTGCTAACTGAAATCTATTATGAGATGAACTCTCCCTTTTGTTTTTTTGAAATTTAAATTGTGAGCACATTTAGCTTTCTTTTAGACCTGAAAATTATAAAGAATTTTTGTGGTAAGGTATAAAGAAAATGGAAACTGCATTTTGGTGGGGCACCTTGGGCTCTCCTGTGACATGCATGTGGTGCTCCTGCTCTGGGCTGGAGGCCCCACTATTGTGGGGGATCTGAGCTTCAGTGCAGTGTAAACTTTTGATTCATAAAGCATGTGCACACGGTAATAGGAAAAACCAAGGTGGCGTGAGCAGGCAAGAGCCATGTCCCACTTCTCTAATAAGTATCAGAATATCCAAAATCCTTAGGTAACCTTTATTTAGATTTTCTAATTTTTGTCAAGGGAAGAATAACTGAGCAATACAATAATGGAGGGAAATTTGAACTGTATTTTGAGTAAACTGAACCATAACCCTGATTTCTCCTTGCAGCTGAAACAAGCAACATTGTTTCTTTACCTGCCTTTCTGGGCCAAACTCCAGGCTCAGGGGAGGTTTTGGTGCCCTTCCCTGTCAGGGGGTCTGTGAGAAGTAGTGAGAGGAGCAGAAAGCAGCAGTTTTATTAAATAACCCTTTAAAATCTGTACAGGGCCAGCTGACTTCTGTTGGTTTGTTTTTTCCTCTAGTCTTGCTCTAAAGTGTTTTTCAGTTTCCTCTAGAGACACACTCAAGAAATTTAACAAGCTGTGTAAATCAGTATATTAACCAAAATTGACTTAAGAAAGCAGAAAGGACCTAAATAAATGTAGATTTACATTAATTGTGAATTTGAAACAAGTCCCTCTATAGTAAACAATTTTGAAAAACAATGGAGCTTGAGAATTTACATTACCATATCGAGACCCACCACAAAGCCACAGTGAGGCAGTGATGCGCTGGTCCCAGGCTGTTATCAGCTAGTGAAAGCCAAATGTTGAATTTTTAAAGTCTTAAAGGTTAGTTGTTATCATATTGGTTATTTGAAATTGTCTTTTGTAAGAGCATTTTGTAAACAGAAATCAGCAAACTACAAATCAGGACCGTATTGCTCCCCAACCATTAGGAACCTGCCAGGCTGTCTCAGGGAAGCCATCTGAGCCATCACACTCCTACTGTTTGGCAGGGGTGCTGCAGGCCCTGCTGGAAGTTTTTCTGTTGTAACAATTTTGACTCTACGTTGAGTGGCCCAATGATATAGTCCCCTACACTTTGGACAGATAGTTGAAGGTTTTGCTGAATGGACAGTTAGTGGCTCAGTTAAGGTTGTCAGGGTGGTGGTCATGCTGCCTTCTTTTCCCTGCTCATGACCTGATTCTGAAGCAGTACTTGGAGCCAGTTCCATTGTGGTTGTCTGAAGAAGCTTAAGGTTATTAAGACCCTGTCTAATCCAGATCCACAGAAGAAATATAAATACTTGAATCAAGCATACAACAAACAGGCCCTTACACATTTGTGATTCTTCTGGATAAGTTTGTCCCATAGTTAGATGGTTGATATAATCAATATATCTCTTTTCTTTTCTTTTCTTTTCTTTTCAAGGGAAGGAGTTTCTCTCAGGCTTGTTTATAACTGGCCCTAGAGAATAAGGGAGTTTTAATGTCCCACTCTTTACACCTGATGAAGCCAATATCAATACACTCCAGTGATAACTATTGACTTATACCAATGTACTCACCTCCTAGATGCGCGCACATGAGAAGTGTCCCCTTGCCCTTAACCTCTTACCCTATCTGTGTTCTGGCACCATATGCTATGACTCAATGTGGCTCCTGATGTTCTTGGGGTTAAGTACCAGTAGAGGATGAGAAAAATAAAAGACAAAAAGCTGGGGTCAGGGGGAGCCCTTATCCTCATCATGGGAGGAAAGGAACTGGTCAACCACTGTAGCACCTTTATTTATATACTGGGAAAGATGATGTCAATTTCAGCCCCTCTGCCTAGCAACCCATTGCTTGGCAGGCCTGGGCCCCTTGCCTTGTTGATGTGAAACAGCTTGTTTACATATCTTGTTTTGGTCTGTTTTTTCTGGGCTGACCTTGCTTTAGCCCACACATGTGACCAATCTCCAGCTTGAAAGCTCCCTACACACAAGATCACTAATATAAAGGCCCTTCCAACTCCAAGGTACTGTGTCTTCTAACAGAAGACTCAAGCTTGTTTCCTCATTTCCTATTTAGTAATGAGAACTTCAATACATTGCATATAAATTTACTTGACAACAACAAAATATGCCTCTGTTAGGTTTTTCCCAGCTAGAAAACCCTCTGATCTATAAACTAGATGTTTCATAAGACATGAACTAAGTCCTTTAAGATATAAAACAGGGCCAGGAATTTAGCTCAGTAGCATAAATGCCTCCCTGGCAAGCATGGGGTCATGAATTCAATCCCTGGTACCAAAAAAAAAAAAAAAAAAAAGATATAAAACAGCTTTGGAGAAATTTCCAAAGGCTTCTTTTATTTTTTATACTTATATTTTTTAAAAAAGCATGTTACCTTTTCTTACTGAAGGATTATTCAACCCCTTAATTTTAGAGAGTTACACAGCACATGATTCTTCAGCAGACTAAAAGCATAACCGTTGTGAATAGAAGAAGCACTATTTTGGGGTCACTGGTACACTCCTTCCCAAGGTAAAAGTATGCAAAACAAGGTAAACTGCCCCATACTCGAGCCAAAGTGGGCAAATACATTCATATAAAGGCTATCAGCAACGTTTTACCTTTGGTAGAAAATCCTTTACTGCTAATCGACATATATGATATCTGTTGGTTTCTAATTACTATGTGCACAAAGTAAAAATAACAGGAAGCACTTTTAAAAGGGAATTAATATACCAAAACTCAACTGAATGCCATGTGTCAATTTATATACAAGGTTATTTATTTTGAAAGAAATCCCAAGATTATAAACTACTCAAATGCCTGCCAATGAAACCTAAATGTTATTATGCCATACTATAAATTATAGTTACATTAGAATACTATGTAATCAATACAAAGAATGTGGATATTGTTTATTTCTATGGAACTGTTAAGTGGGCAAAGTAATGTATTAAATTTAGAGAGCTAAACTGCTCTTCCCAAGATTTCTCCTCACCTAGTGAGATAAGAAACAAAACAGCTTTGGGTTAATAATGGGAGTTTTCCTTCCAAGCAAAAAAAATTCAGGTATATTCCAAAAATTCAAGCACTGTGTGACGCCGAATCTATTTTTCCCCTGGCAGACAGGCAAATCTAGTAATGCAGAGACCCACGCAAAAACCAGGCAGGCAGCCTTTCCCAATCTTTACACAGTTCAAATTAATCAACATAAACTCACACTCTGTGCAGACCTGGAATAGAGAGCTGTCATCTGGGTGTATGGAGCAAATGAAAGAGAAATTCAAAACAAGTACAGATCAAAAGGAAGGGCACACTCACCAGTCCACCAAAATAGAGGGAAGTACAGACAGGAAGTAGCCTCCGAACCTGATTCGCTAGTGAATTCAAGGAGGAGTCCCTCCTCCTTTGCCTTAAAAGATGTTGACGGGATGTAACTTTTTCCTTCACCCACTTGTATCTTTTATAGACCAGTGATTCTTCCTGCACTGTACTTAGACTGAACTTAAATGTCTGGGTTAATTTACTTAGAATTAACCCAGGTTGATTTAAACTATTTAAGTACGTTCTTGTTTAGATAAGCCTGCTATTCCAAACAATTTTCATCTCTTTTAGGGTAACTTCTATATAATCTCAATATGGTTAACTTATGCACTACGGGTTCCACAATAAGCAGCCTAGATCATCAGTTAGAACTTATTTTCAGGCTAATCTTCCAGCTAACAGGCTAAATGGATAAAAGATAATGATTCACCAGTTAAACTTTAAAGTAAAATTTAGCTGATTTTGAATCTGAGCCTTGCGATTTATTTGTTTGTTTGTTTGTCTTTTTGAGACAGGGTTTCACTATGCGGTTTAGGCTGGCCTTGAACTCATTTTGTAGCCCAGGTTGGCCTCAAATTTGCAGTGATCCTCCTGCCTCAGCTTCCTGAGTGCTGGGACAAAAGGCATGCACCACCTGCCCTACCCCGTCATTTACTTGTACACATGTAAGTTTCAGTTTCCTCAACTATAAACAGAGGAAAAACATGATGACATCTTCCTCCTTTGAAGATTAAGGGAAAATCCTTCCTTTCTGTGAGAATTAACTAAAATAATTAGAATAATATATCCAGTACAGTACCTACTACAAGGTACTCAAAAATGTGTTAGCTATTATTATTATTATTTTATAATTTCCTGATTTAACTCTCCCAAGTGGATATAAACAGCTACAGTACGAAGTGTGTGTTTTTACCTTTCTGAGGGCATTATTTATTAATAGGTTAGGTTGACCATATGGATCACTCTGCTAAGATTGTATCTTAAGCCATAAATAGAGGGCTCACTAACATAATATTCATCAAGAGTCTTAATAAATACTGTCAAAATATAACATACAGATAATATAAAAAATATACATATATTAAAATTGAAAGAGTTTTCGGCACGATAAAAGAGAGAATATAAAGTAAAAATAGCCTTTATTCCAAGGATGTGGAGGGGAGTCCAGGACCATAGATGGTTTAGCCACATCTACTGGAACATGGGGTATGGGAACTACATATAACTTCTGACTGGAGTTGGCACTTAGGGTGGTCACTAATTATGTGCAAGGAGCTGATTGGAATTTTCTTCGTGTGCAGACAGGAAGGGGAGTTGCAATTAAGGCAGAAGAAGAAGCAGGAAGTGTTAGGTGTTTCCACTTTGGCCTTCCACCACGTTAGACCACTGCCATAAACATACAGTAATTTAAATGTATTCTAGAGCAAGAAACTTTCATTCCTGTCTTTTTATTGTTAGGAAAAGGGCAAAGTCTCTCTTACTATTTTACTTACTGTTTTATTATTTTCTGCTGAAAGGGGTGCCCTATTGGGGTTTAGGAAGGTTGACAGGATGGTTTGTGCCCATGTAGAAGCTGGTACCAGGTGTTTCAGGCAAGACAAGGAATTAATCATTGGTGAATGCTCACATACTGGATTGGTAAAACAAAGAGACAAGGTGCTATGAGGAGGCAGGCCACTATCATATTTAAGGACTCAGGAGAGGTAGAAGGAAAGGTGTCTTTGATTTAAATATGCCATTCCATCAGGACCATGGTGAGGTAGAATTCTGAAAAATAAGTGTGGGGTTAGGAGGAGGAGTGAAGTTATGAGAGGTGGTTATTCCCCCATCTTAAAGGGTAAAAGTTAAAAATGTAGGTAGGTAGGGCTTGTCTCTGGTCCAGGAGTTGAGCTGGAAAGAATAAGAGGCATGAGAAACATAAGGCCTGATGGAATCATATTTGGGAAATAACAGTAGAGGAGGGAGGACTGTGGCTGTGTCACTATAAGGGAGCTAAGAGCCTAAACCCACAGGGATCTCATATTTAACTAAACAATTGGGGGCAGAGAGAACTAAGACAATTGTCACGTAGAGGAACATGAAGATGATTTTATGCATGACGCGGGAGTCTTTGGAAAGACTGTCAAGAGTCCTGCTGTACAAAATAATTAACTAATAGAATATAAGGGATTAGGAACCAAATTGGATAACAAAACATGACTTAGCCTGAGAGTTGTGGCTGTGAGGCCTTGGGGAGATGGACACAGATGGGAGATAGAAGATGAGATGACCTCTCAGCATGTGTAGGGTCAGGGGAGACAGGGTTAGGAGGGCACTGCTTAGCTTGAGTGATATGGAACCAGGATGGCAGTCCAGCAACTTTGACCACCCTTGAAGTTCTGAGGAAGACTGGGTAGGGGCCACTCCATTTTAGTTGTAGTCCTTGGGATGATTTTCTGTAACAGGACTTTAGTAAATATATCAGCAGTCTCCCTGGTTGTGGGAAAGGCTTTTATCCATCCTGAAAAAGTACAAAGGTGAGAAGATATTTTAGAGTTTTTGTGGCAGGGCATGTGTGTAAAATCTATGTGTCAATCCTGACCAGGGTTGTGTCTGCGAAATTGATGAATAGGAAAGGAAGGAGGTGCTGTGTGTCCCTGAGGAGAGGTTTTCCTATAGATATGACAGGTGTAAGTTGTTGAGACCTCAAAGTGTCTGGGCCAGTCTGCATAAACAAAAGGAATTTTAAAAAAGGCATTTTTAAGATCTATGACTGTAAAGTGAGTGGTGGAGGGAGGAATATGAGAGAGCATGGTATAAGGGTTTGGCACCATTGGGTAGATTGGGGTAATGGCATTATTGATTACTCCAAGGTCCTGCACTAGATGATAAGACTCATCAGGCTTGACTATCGGGAGAATGGGGGTATTATAAGCTGAATAGGTAGGCTTAAAAAAAACCATTGTCTAAAAGGCACTTAATTATAGGTTTAAGTTCCTATAAATGTTTGGGAGCTGTGGGATATTGGGGAAAGCAAGGAAAAATTGAAGGATCCCTGAGATAAACTAAAATAAGCATGGCATGGGTAGCAGGGGTGGGATTAGAGGTATCTCAAACTATAGGATCAACCAGAGAAGAAGGGAGTCTGAAACCTGCATGGAATAGGCCCTGTCTGTAAAGGCTGAGTAGGTTGGCCATCTACACCCACTATAGAGACTGAGGACTTAATATAGCAGCCTAAAAACTCAGGAAGAACACTGTACATGGCCTCTATGTCTACAGAGAATGTCTTACCTGAGACCTCCAGTGGGACTTGGGGCTCTGATAAAGATATTTTAATGGAGGGCTGAGGACCCTGAGCCTCATCAGTCTTCAGCAGCAAGTCTGAGTAGATCAGTCAGCAATGAATCCAGAAGTGATAAGATCTCCCATGAGGGCAAGGAGTTAGAGGATGGCTTACCCACTCTTTGGTGGCTAGGACAGTTGCTCTTCCAATGGCCCTTGAGACTTCAGTAAGGGCAAGGCCCCAGAAGAACACTAAGGTTGGGGCACTCTCTTGTCCAATGTCCTTCTTTGTTGCACTTGAAGCATGGTCCAGGAGGGGCTCAGGCAGCTCCACCTTGTCTTGGTTTACCTGTCTTAGAGCTCCAAGTGTCACTGATAAAAGATCAGATTGTTATTTTTCCTTTTGATTTGTATCTCTGTTGTTGAAAATATGAAATGTACACTAAGAAGGTCTCCCTGTGGGGTGTGAGGGCCCAGTTTAGCCTTTTGTCTGGGGATCTGGCCCACAGTGGAAGGTATCTGTCTCCTCCTCCATAGTCACAAGACATTTGGTTTTTATCTTGGGTAGGTGTACAGCTTAAGTCTAAACGAGACAAAGGCAAAGAATCAATTAAGTATGCAGGAGTCAAATAATGCAGTCAACAGGGTATTTATGATTATAACTTTAGCAATGGCTTTCCATAAGAAAGATAAGGATAAGGTCCAGGGAATTTTAGGAACTGACATGTCATTCATTTGTCATACACACACTTGGGTTTTACAATTGTATAAGTATCTCCTGTGCTGTTAGAATGTCTAATGCCATGTGATTTTTGGAGGATGGCCTGTTTTATTAATTTTATCTTTTTATTTAGGAGAGAGATCAGCTGCAGTGTCATTTAACGCCAGTTGAATATAGTTAATTATGGCCCCAGTATGCATCATATAACCTTATTTTGGAAAAGATCTGATGGATCCCAGCAAAAGGAATCCAAAGGCATTTATAATTATCTCTTAATTTTAGTTGTTGAATATCTAGAAGATTGATAACAGTACAGTGCAGGGGAGGCAGTAAGCTTAACATAGAACATTAAATGGAACTATTATTGTCTATTAACCACAGATGTTTTAATATTTGAGCACTGAAGAAACTGTGACATTGTTTGGACTGTTCACTATTTAAGCGTCTCTAAGTATAACATTTATATTATATAAATTTTTGTTTAAAAATTATCATTTGGTTGGTGACCTCATGTTGGTCTGACCTGAATCTCCTGGCTGGATCATAAGAAAAAGGCAGACATTTGAATCTGAAAGAAAACACTTGTCATCATAAACAATCCCTATTTTATATTTGAAGACATGAATATACCATAGGATCAGTAACAATGAATTGTCTTAGTCATACGAACTTTAGTTGAGGTGTCTTCCTTAAGGCTATGGAGACTATTGGGGCCTCCGATTAATGAACAAGAGCAGGTTAAAGTTACCAGGTGGCCACTTTCTCATTCATTAGTTGAAGTCCTGTCCAATGTCTCCTCACCTCAAGGGATTTTGTTTAACCAATTTTAGCATCATTTGACCAGCTGGCAACCTAGGTGGAAGCATGTTTTTTAAATCTATAACTCAAACCTTAATTAAATGATCTGAAAATGTAAAAGAGGAGGAAAAAATTGTTGAGCTCAAATAAAAAGGAACAGCTGTTTACAGAGCAGGCAAATGGACAGACAACAGATATATAGACTGACAATCATCTTACAAAATCAGAGTGCACCCAAATATATTTGGCCAATTTGAACTATAATAAATAGGCTAGTGTGAACCTTTTTGTAGATCAATTAATAGAGAGCTCTTGAAATAAGAATATCAGAAAAGGAACCTAATTTATGGCTAATCTGACATAGGACAGAGAGGAAACAAGGAACATAGATATTAACTAATCTCTCGGCGCTAGCCTGTTCCCAAAGCGGGAGTAGAGATTGAAGCTAAGAAGGCTGTGAAATAGATGGCCTCTGAGCGGCCAACCATCAGCAGGCATGTGTTGGCAATTACCTGATGATTGGCTACAAAACAGCTGCTCGTCACCATGCAACAAGGAAACACAGACTGTTGGCGGGTTACTGTGTGACCCACAGCAGCCTAGCTGCTGCCAGTAATACAGTGAGGGTACACAAGGTGGCAACTGGTCATCATGTGACCCACAGCAGGATGGCTGCTGCTGATCACACAAGGGGCCACAAGAGGACGGCCATTGACCCTGAGACCTGTCGCAAGATGGTAGCACCCTGTCAGGTGGTGGAGGGCCACAAGATGGCGGTTATCTTCCAGGAGAGCTGCAGCAGGATGGCTGCAGTCATGTGGCCTGCCTGAAAGCTGGAACACATGAGACCACATATGGTGAGCCAGTGGGGAAGGGGACAAAGAACTCTCTGACAGAACAGATGGCTCAGGTTGGCGGCGTGGAGAAGTTGGAGACTGGGGAGAGACACAAAGGGAAGGATTAGAGGCCGCTGTGGGTGAGGAAGGGGGAGAGGATGGCGCAGGGGGCAAAGGAACCTCTGGCTGAGAAAGCTATGGGATTTGGCAAGAGAGATACAGGGGAAGAGCCGTAAAGACAGGAGCTGCATCATCTAAAGGGGACTGGTGGGGAGGGAGGGAGAGATCCTGGTGGAGCAGAGTGAGCTAGAAATATTTGGGCCATCAAAGAAGACTGAGTGAGATATGGATACATCCTTTAAGTAAAAAAGGCTTAAAGATGAAGGGTTTCTGCCAACTTGCTGCCAATGTGACAAAAGCATAAATAAAAGATCAGCTTTTTTTTTTATAGCCTTGAGCCCAAGAGCACCAAGGTTATGAATCAGGCACCCCAGAGGTGTGTTTTTTCAGGGAACAGGAAGTGGTCGTCCCTGTGACCGAATTATAAGTGAGCTGAGAGAACAACTTCGCCTCGGGATGTAAGAGTCCCAGAGGAAGAAAACGGTGGTTCTTAGGCAGGGGAGCCTCAACAGGGAGGAATTTTTTAGGAGCTAACACACTCTGCCATCTGAGTCACGGCAGCATTATGAAAGAGTTTTTGGAGCGATCAAAGAGAATATAAAGTAAAAAATAGCCTTTATTCCAAGGACATGGAGAGGAGTCCATGACCATAGACGGTCTAGCCACCTCTACCAGAATGTGGGGCATGGGATATACGTATAACCTCTGACCTGGGTTGGCACTTAGGGCGGGCATTGATGACACGTGAGGAGCTGATTTGAGTTTTCTTCATGCACAAACAAGAAGGGGAGTTGCAATTAAGGCTGAGGAAGAAGCAGGAAGCGGTAGGTGTTTCTGCTTTGGCCTTCCTTCCGCCAAGTTAGACCACCACCATAACTGTACAGTAATTTATTCTAGGACAAGAACCTTTCAAAAATATGAAAATGTAAGGTCCTATGATATAAAAAGAAAAGACACACAAGGTAGCATTTAATATTGAATACTGGGAAATTTGAGGACATTCAGCTTCTGAAGTAGACTGCAACAGAAGGCAGAAGCAGAGTGGTATTCTACATTCTAGGTTTTAAAACTCATTAACAGTCCTGGGTCGATGGTACATGCCTGTAATCTGAGCACTTAGGAAACTGAGGTAGGAGGATATTCATGAGTTTGAGACCAGTCTATACTTTATGATAAGACTCTGTATCAAAAAACAAAGCAAAACAAAAGAAAAAACTCAACATACCATTATGAGACTTTCCCCAGCTGGTCACATCAAAAGTTCATGCCCAGTAAAGTAATACTAAAATTGTTTAAATGTAGACTCCTGGGACCTGCCTTCAGAGACTCTCATTTAATGGGTGGGACGTGGCAATATGCAATTTCCTACAGACTCTCAAGTGCCTCTGAAAGATTTAAATGAGCCTTGAAGAACCTCCAAGGAAAGAACACTGACTTAATTACTGTTGTTTAAAAATGTTATTACTGCTAAATTCCTAAAAAAGAAGTTTAAATTTTCTGTATAGTTTATTTAGAATGAATAATCTGAGAATAGTCATTTAGAGGTAAGTAAAAAGTAAGTATATCTTTTGCAAGTCTGTATCTGGCTATTAAGCATAAGAAAATATTGATCTCAGCAAAGCATGTACAAGAAGGAATATTTAAGCTAGGTAGTGCTTGCCTGCAAATTCTAACATTCAGGAGGCTGAGACAGGAGGATCATCATAAATTCTAGGCCACCAGGCCTAATAGGGAGACCCTATTTCAGAAAAAAAAAAAAAAAAGTGTTCATTTTAGTACTGATTATAAAAACAAAACAATTAAAAACACCCATGTATATCTGAAAGGGAGGCATTAATCATGGTATGACTGCTTTATGAAATGGTACCCACTACCTTAAGAGAACAAAAGTAGGTGTGTGTGTCTTGACATGGAAAGATTGCTAATACATGTCAGGTGAAAAAGTCAAGTTGCAGAATAACATGTGACATGCTCACACTTATATAATATCTAATACACTCTAAAAACACTAAAGTAACTAATTCTGTTCATAAACATCTTTGTGTGTGAGTGAGAAGAAAGTGTTCTGGAAGGAAATATCTATCATATGGTTATTCCTAGGAAGAGGAACAGAACAAAGAAGGAGTATTTTATCTTTTGTTTTTGAATGTCTGTCATGTTTTACAAGGATAATGTATCATGATTAAATAAAACATACTTGCTCCCCAAAATAAGGATAGAAATTTGAAAGCAGGCTTTAATATAAAAGTAAGAAGATGAAAGCAGGAGGCCCTGGACCTCTAAGGCATAAAAGGCTAAGCTCCAAAGGGCGGAAGGACACCATGTTGAGTAAGTGTCCTCTAAACTGAACCTAGAACTCCAGAGACTGGGCCTTCTTCATGTTCACCGTATCCCACTCAGTTCTGAGCTATTAGCTTTCCCCTTCGTCCACGTGTTAGACATTTCCACTTCAAAGCACCTCCGGAGAAGTCTCTTCTCCCAGAATTGTAGCCAAGAAGAAGGTTCAACATCCCAGTTCCTAACTATCCTTAAAGACACGCACACAAACTCTGTTAAAACAGTGTTCCTAGTCCACACCTTTGCTATTGCTTGACAGAAAAGACAGTTTCATTTGTAATATAAAACAGTATATAAACTGGGTATGGTGTGTGTAATCCCAGCACTCAGGAGGCTGAAGCAGGAGGAGTGCTGCAAGCCAGAGGCCAGCCTGGGCTACACAGTGAGTTCAAGGCCAGTTTGAACCACTGGGAGACCCTTTCTCTCTCTCTCACACACACGTACACACACACAACATTTTACAGTATAGTACAGTAGAGCCAAGGGATGGAGCATTTGTTTAGCTCTTATGAGACTCTAGGTTTGATCTCCAGTACTAAATAATACAAATGGAATTTTAAAGCTTTGAAAATCTTGTTTCCTTTAACCACTGATCTTTGAGATTCTGCCTTTCTCTTTTCAGTATTTCTCGAGAGTCAAGTTCATAAAATCTCACCCTTCCTTCTGAAATTCTCTCTTCTCAAGCACACTCACCCTTTGCTGGAGTACCATGTAATCAATATCACTAAAAGCTAATAAGTTCCCAGCCATTGGTAATATAGTAGTGAACAA